GACTCGGCCACAATACGGCTTCAACCATGCACTTTCCCCGTTCAAAACTTCATTCTTGCGTTCTTTTTGTCATCATTTTCTACAAAATCTTTGCCACCTATATCACCCCCAGCACCCACTCTCACTAGATAATTTGCCTCATTATAATTCTTGAATCGAATCTGCAGACGTTTTTTTGGATTGAAAACTCACCCTCTTCGATGTGCCACTGAGTTCCACTTTTCCTTGCCCTCCGTCCTGGGCATGTCCAATGTTATGTTTGAGAGGCAAGAAAAAACACATATATTAAAATATAGGTACAAGGCGTGTGGGCATTGCGTCTGGAACAACTATACAACTCATCGACAAATATAGCTAGCTAGTCCGGTTTGGGTTGTTTGCCACAGTCACTTGAGTCATCCGGCAGCTAAAGCAGATGATATTATGTTTTGCATCTTAGCTATAGCTCGCTGGTCGAGTCCCTTGGTCCCCAGTTTTTTCTGGCCACATATCCTGCTCATGTCTAAAATTTTCATCGAGAGGCAAGAACAAACCCCACATAGAATTGAGAAAGAGTCCATGAAGGATTGGCCATTTTGAGCTTCCCGGTGTAACTTGCACTTCATGAAGAGACATGCCCAAAGTGGGCTGTTCGCCTGCACAGTCAAACCTGACCAGAGTCTTCTGGCAATTGCAGCCAATGAGACACTCTGTTACTATCAACAGTAATTGATCGTAACACGCATTTTGCTTTTGACATAAAACAAGCTCCTTGGGGGCTATGTTCTTCTGGATGAGCTCTGGAGTTTTTCTGCGTGAGCTCTGGAGTTTTTCTGGATTGGCTCTGGAGAGAATTTTGGCGAGACTTCCCAACCGTTGTACGCGTCACGCGATGCTCAAGGAGGCCAATATCGGAGCGTAGAGAGCTCAACACACATCACTCCGTCGCACTCCACCACCTCTGGCACGTCTTTGGCCGTCTTGAAAAGTCTTCGCTGCGGTCAAAAAGCGGCTAGCGGAAGCTTTCCAGTCCTCTTAGTCTCTCTACTCGTTTGTGGGCTACCCACCCAGTAGTCTTACACTGTAGATGAAAACAGAGCTCAAGCAGAGTAAAGAGCTCGACATACATTGCTTTGTCATATACCTCCGCGTGCACGGGTTTGGCCGTCTTTAAAAGTCTTTCGCTGCAGAAAGAAAAACAACGAACGAGCGGAAGCTTTGTAGTCCCTTCAGTCTCTCACCTCGCTTATTGGTTACTCGGGCAGTGGTCTTACACTCCAATTACAGACAGAGCCGGAGGGCATTTTGCTTATAAAAACCCATACATCTTCCCCCTCCTAGCCCGCTCCCCTACTCCATCGCCAGGCATTACTTCACATAGCGATACACAACTTTAGACAATACCCACAAATCACCATCTCAGGCTCTCTGAATCTGATTTAGCAATACTAAACCACCTCAGCAATCAGAACCCTAATCCACCTTACCCTCTATTTCATCCCCCCTAGTAACCTCCTATTTCCATCTACAATGTCAGCGGACAAATTCTCCTCCAGCCCCCTTAACCCTCATGATCGTTCCACCGATCAACAGAGCCGCGAGGCATACACGAATGCCCGTCGCCAGCCGACCCCCGAAATCCCTGAAGGGTCTCAACGCCTTCACTTAGCCATACGCGAGCAAACATCTCCTGCTCAACTTACTCTGAGCAATATCACATTGCAAGGCGCCACGAGTCACGAAGCACCGTTGACTCCGATTTCTAGATGGCTCCGCAATGTTGAGCCGGTGTCCCCCAGACTTGCCCTACGGACTATCTCATACTGGAGCCCCGATAGCGACGTCTCGATGGACACCACTTCCATCTCGTCAGTGATGACCCGCGACGAGCAGAGCCCTGCCCAGAATTGTGGGTTGAGACGCCAAGGGCCCTGCTTTTCGGAGGGCATCAGGCCCACCAACCCTGGCTACCGACCCGCCGAAATCCAGCCGACAGCCGGCCCAAGCAACGCCACGATGGGTTCCCCAAGTCCAGCACACAACTCGGCCAGCCACAGATCGGTGCTTTCGTCAAGTCCGGCGAAAAAGTCAACAAGCGACGCCCCGATGCTTTCGTCAAGTCCGGCGAAGAAGTGCACAAAGAGTAATGCGAAGGGGAAGGCTCCTGGCCGTGCCGAGGGCAAGAAGAAACACGGTGCTTCCACCGCCAATGCCCCACGTCGGGCTGCAGTTGCGATCCCCATGAGCAGGCTTCGCTCAGGGAAGACCCCCGCGTGCAAACTCAAGGTCCTTCCCCCTCCCACCCGTTGCTCCCTCCGAATCCGTCCTTCTCAGCCACCCATCTATTGCTGCCCCATTTGTGGCTTTGAATGTCCCCTCCTTAGCGGCATCAAACAACACGTGAAGGATACTCATCCACACTGATATACCCTTAACAGTGCCTCTCTCTTAGAAGTAGACTCTGCCCTTATGTGGCTTCATTGGACTAATTTTCTTATTGAAACTTCCTTCTTGCGTTCGGTTTTCTTATAGTTCGCTAAATAATCGTCACTGCCTGTATTAATCTCAATACCCAATCTAATTAGAGCATTCAACTTATTTCAATTCTTTATATTAATATATAGATGGGAAACGGATCTTATCCTTTGTGCCACACTGAGTCCCAATTTGCTTGCCGTATTGCCCTGGTCATGTCCAATATTAGGTGTCCTTCTCATGGACCAATGTAGCCAATTTGAGCTGTTCACCGAAACGAACCGGTAAATGAGATCGTCGTTTTCACCCTAGCCATAGCTTACCGGTTGAGTGTCCTTTTCTCACTGGGAAGCTTATAGGCTATGAGACCTGCCCGTGTTTCATCTGTTTCATTTTTTAAAACGATATTTTGACTCACTATTCCTGATCTATCCTCAACTTGAACACCTCTTGCAACTCTGGCGATAACCCTCTTAATCCAAGTTATTATGTTCAGAGTGGAGATAATGAGTTGACCGAATTCGCGCGACTTTTGGTTCAGCTTGTAAGGGTTTGTTATGCCGCTGAAGGCTTCGCTTCAGCAGCATGACAAAGCCTTACGAAGAGCAAAGAGAACAAAAGAGCAGACAAGGATCGGTATGTATATCGATGTAGTCTTCAGAACCTGAACCGGTTGGAAAACGTAGGGTTGAGATGAAGCGACTGTTCGGAACAAAAGGAGTAGGAAAGGACATAGGAATCAGGAAAAACTCGCATGCATCCTTCTGATAGATGAGCGGAAAGCAATTATCTCTTTCCTCCGGAATAGTCGATAGCGAGATGGGTAGTAGGCTCTCTAAAGAAGATACAACCGGTTTTGGGTAGAATAAGAATTCCAAGAAAAAGAATCTAATAGAGTCATCTTTCGTCTTACCTTTTTCTTTTGTTCTCCTTCAAAACTCTATGAGTAAAGATTGTATCAGAACCAACCGACCCATGCACACATTAAAAACATCACTGATCCGGAGAGGAAATGCCTATAAGGAAATCTTTTGAGAAGTATAAGAACCCATCTGTTTCCATCTGTCTCGAGAGAGCCTGAATCTTTTTTTTTTACTTCACCACGCCTCCAGACATCCAACCGCAACACCCTCGCCCACACACACAGAGAAAAAAGAGCCACATTAAAGCGGGCACAGCCCATTGACTTCCCGCAACAGGACTTAACAATTTACGCCACGCCATCGCTGAAGAGGAAGCCGCTTGAGATGGCCCGGACCGAGCCCTCCAAAGAGAAGAAGCGGGCTCCCGCGAAACTGGACCTATCGTCCGCCAGCGGCCCCGTCGTCGAGCCTCCTTCGCCCCCGCCCAAACCCGTCACCTGTCCCATATGCACCCTCCAGTTGCCCCTCCTCGAGGCCATCAAAACTCACATCAGGGAGGACCATCCTCAGCTCTATGACCCTACCCTGGACCAACAACAACCAGCTCCTCAGGCTAAGTCCTAACCCCCCATTTCCCCGGCCCAGTGCTGTGTTGGATCGCTTCTTAGGTATCTGCTTTCTCCTCCTCCATTGCCATACTCTCAAACTCATCTCCCTTCTGGCTCGGGACATATATATGCACATAACTTGTTTTGAGCTTCTTGTTTAAATCCTGTGTCTCTAAAAGAAGCATTCTTCTAGAGACTCATTTGTATGACTTTTCATCTTGATGATCATGTTCTTGAGCAAAAAAAAGTCTGATCAAATTGCAATAAAACCCCGTTTTCTGATCAGATAGACAGGAGCCTTTCTTCCTCTGCTCCGATTGATCTTTTTTGCCTTTCCTGCACTTTTCATCTGGAGCTGAGTAAAGTGAAAAGCCCTGTTGGATTCAGGGTATCAAAGCTGATCATCAAGATGAGAATGGGTGCAAGGAAAACTTGATCCAAGCCTGCTCGCAGGATGACGGGCACCTGGTGAGAGAGCCGTCTTGGGCCAATTTTAATGGTTGCCAAACGGGACAGAAAAGCATGTTCCGCGCTCTATCAGGTACTGGAAGTATATTTGAGACGAGGACGGTGGGCGAAGCTTCCCTGTCAGAGTAGAGGCCGTCTTGGTCTGTTCACTCGCTCCACCAAGCTATAGCATTTAGGGAATCAGCGGCTCCACATAGTCCTTCATCCATCGCGAAAAGCCAAGTAACTGCTATGTAGTCACGGCGAGCCTTGTTGCGACCCTTGAGACACCAGCACTTGTCCCATCTCTCCTCACATTCCTCGCGATCCACACCTCTAAAAAATATCTCATCTTCTTTCTTATCTCTGTTGCCGATGCAAGTCGAGAACAGGACAACGAAGCATCCTGGTTGCCGAAAGAGAAGAGACATTATAAAGCACGAGAAACACAGAAACACACAAAGACAGAGAGAAAGAAAGATTTGATGCTCATCATCAAAGATTAATATTACAAACAAAAAGACAGATAAAAGGGAGAAGAGTTCTGTGTAAAGAAGACATAATCTAAAAGAAACATAAGAACACAAATGAGCATCTGTACTACATAAAACAAACCCCGGTGTAAACATAGAAGATAAATGCCATAGTAATCTAAGGTGATTAAATCAAGTATGGAGTCGTGAGACGAAAGACAAAGTGAAGTACTTCAGGAGATAGTTGGATAGAGAGAAAAGTAGTGTTTGCATATAACTATATAGAAGTACTAGCTATATATAAGTGCGAGAGAATCGAGTGGAGAGTGAAGAGAAAGAGAGAAAGATATGTGTATATGTGTGGAAGACAACAAAAACAAAAGAAGGATTCCTTGAAAAGGATATACATAATCAGCTCTCATATACCAGTTATAAAACATCTACATCTATCGAATATTCTTCACAAAAAAACACCGATAATAATAATAATAATAATGATAGCTGGAAAGTTTTTGGTGGAGTGCGGGGAGATTGAGCTTAAGAAAACAAAAGAGGAAAGTTGATGAAAAACAAACGAACCACAATCCGAAAGAGAATCTAATTGGAGAGGGAAGTTTATGAGAAGAGGGTGTGAGAAACGAGACTAGTTAGACCGAACGTCGAGGACGCCGTCCTCGATTTTGCGGAGAGCCCATTGGGAGGATTTCCTGACGAATTTCCAGACGGATTGGATAGCTTTAAGGACTCCGAGGAGGACGAAGATGAGGATAAGCAAGCTGCCGATCCCGTTAGGATCCGCGGCAGCCGCCCGGCCAGCGGATGTCCTACTGGTAGTCGATCCCGACCGCATCATCCGCAGGACCGAGTTCCGGATCCCAAAGTTCCACGGCGAGAAGAGAGTCACAGACATGGCCAGTTGGAAGAAACTCATCACCCCGATAAACGCTAGTCCTTTGATCGTGTGCTTGATTAAGGCCTCTAGCTTACTCAGTAGCTTGCTCACAATCGATTGGATTATGTTCCCCGGTTCTTCTTCTTCTTCTTCTTCTTCATCTTCTTCATCGTCGTCCTCTTTCTTCTGCCTCCTGCCCAATTGTCCAGTGGAAGAACGTCTCCGTTTCGTCGTCGTCGTCGTCGGCCGAGTTGAATAGATTGCAATCGGTTCGGAGCTCGACGCTTCTTGGCCTTTCTTCTTCGCCTTGGCCCGCACGTATCGGTATGTATGTTCCTCCTTCTCCCCCGTTTCGATAGGCTTTAGTTCGCTCACTTCGTTCTCTCTTTGCGATTGTGTGACTAACTTCGATCGTCTCACTGGCGTCGTTCCTGCCTTTCTTGTTCTAGATCTTGTGTCATCTACGTGGAGCTTACTATTCAGTACACGTACAGCTTTGATACAAACATGTAAAAAAAAACACAACAGATTAATGTCAATAATTCTCAATTGACCATAAATTGCCAAGTTGTGATAGGTTTTTGTTCTTTTTTTTTGACTGACCTTCACCAACGACTTCACCGACGATTTTGCCGGTAGAATCGTAAGAAAAGGGGCCCAAGCCAGAGTCCCAATGAGTTTCGAGGGTAGTGATTTGAGAGTAACTTTCCAAGAGCCAACTGGAAATGAAACCGGAAAGAATGACTAGGATAAAGAAGACCATGAACTAGATCGGTATGATTATATACGGATAGAGTCATGTATGGAAAAATTTATGGGCAGTCAATCTGACCAATCTTTTAATCGTCTCTCCCTCTTTCCCTCTTTCCCTCTCCCCCTCTCTCTATTTTGTTTTTGAAACGCACGAGATTTTCTGAGCAGGGGACATAGTCTGATGGGCATCATGATTGAACCAACAAGAAGAGCGAGAGGAGAGAGAGAGAGAGAGAGAGAGAGAGAGGGTGAAAGGGAGTATGAGGTCAATTGACTTCAAGAGCACGTACTGTTACACCCGCCCAAGATGGCAGGGTTCTCAGCCAGCCCGGCGATCTTAGCTCTCCTGAGTTTGTATCGATAGCCGCATTGATCACACCTGTAGAACGATTTGGGAGAGGGCGAGGTGATCCGCCAGCGTTGGAGACATCCCACATGGATGAAGGCCATCGTCCCTCGACATAGACAGGGCTGGATGAACCGACCCAGACTCGGATCGTCATCGTCTCGTCCGCTCAAACAGATCCGACAGAGCGGCTCTTCCTCATCGGCTTGTTGAGCTTCCTCCTCATTCGATTCCTTTGCTGTTTCACTCGTAGAAGCTTTCTCATCTGGTGGTCTTAATGCTTCTTCTTGTGTACTCTCACTCTTGTGCTGATGATCTAATGGCTCACTCGTGCTCGCTCCGATCGTCGTTGGATCTTGTGATGTTTCTTCCTGTGAGAGGGCTTGTTCTTCTGAGGGCGGTGATGGGAGATCATGATTCGTGATCGATTGGTTTGAGAGCGCATGGTGTTCGTCAGTCTGATGATCGTGATTGCGAGTCTTAGTATTCCTTTGACGAAGATGTGGATGGTCGTAGTGCGGTGTTTCTTGTTCCTCGCTGTTGTTGTTGTTGTTGATATCCAGCATGTTTGTTTCCTCTTCTTGACCGTTTTGATGGTGGTGGTTGTGTTCTGGGCCTGGCTTGGGTCTGCTGATGCTCGGAGTATGAGTGGTGTGAGTGGGAGATGGCTGATTACATAATCAGTCCAGACTCGATTCTTCCTTCATTTCTTCCCTTTTCCGACTCACAAATTGTCCCTTCCAAGCAAAAAAAATAAAAAACATATCCATCAATCGAAGCCTTTGTTAACAGGAGCCCCACAAACTCCAATCTGGGAATGGATAACAAGTCTTTCCAATCGTGATCAAGAAACACTGGATTGAACTCTCCTGGAGGATAAAGATTTGCTTCATCAGACCACCCATCAGAACCCTCATGTGACTGAATGGAGGTCTTCCCGTCGCGATTTAGAGTGCTTTTTAGACCTCACTCAGTCCTAAATTAACAACACGATTAAGATTTTAACCAGCTGACATTACAGCTGTTTCCGGAAGGCTTCAGAAAAAATATTTTTTTTGATGAAAAAAATAGATCTAAGGGGTGTAAATCAACTTCTGGGAGGGTCGTAGATTGCGACGGGAAGTCCTCCAATCTCCCGATCATGTAAATAGATGGGATTGTGCTCCATCTGATTCTGAGAATGTTTCTGAAAATTCAGCATGCTGTCAATGGATATCATCAAGAATCTTATTGTACATGCATCCAATCGATATCTCAACTGATCTCAACATAATTTTTGGACTTGCAACTTCAAGGATTGTGAGATTGACGGCCAAAGAAATTCAAGTTGATCCAGGTTGGATTCCGATTCAGGCAAGAATTGATTGGTGTATATTGTAAGCGAAAAGGAAGAGTTTCTCACTTCTTTAAGGCCACCCAAAACAAGATGATTATTTCGAGTGTATGCCCTCAACCTTAACGGTCACGATGACCCAAATGAGATGGAACACGCAAATATAAGAAAATGACTCAAAAATATCATGAACCCCGGTTTTTTCGATTGATCGCATTGAATGTGGGGGTCACCCACCACCCTTCATCAAAATCATTGAAATCTTGTTAATTTTGTTGTCTACTAAGACCCTGTTCGCATTCATCATGCACTTATCCTCCAAGAAAAAAAAAATCCTTCAAAGTTCAAAGAAAGACTCGATTTGAAGTGCTTTCTGATTTGGAATGAGCGGCCATGAGTTGATGATGGGAATCAAGGGGCTACAGACCCAGATGTGGAAGAGTCTCTCACACTCAAATCAGATTTTGGATTCAGGTCTTATCAAAGCTGATTCTGTAGGGTCACCAGATCCCATCATAAATTTCTGCAAGTTCTCTCATGGGTTCAGCTCTAGTGAGTCAAAACTCAAATCTGAAGCTTTATCTTCATACAAAATCAAATCAAAATTGACTGAACAATCGAAGGAATTCAAGTTGGCCTGGTTTAATTTATAAGTTTATAAGGGCCTGTACTGTATGAGATGAAAGGTAAATTTCTCAAAATTCATCTTGCTCAAGATTTCATATCATCAAAAGTGACCACAACTGAAAGCTAGTCTTTGGCCTGAAAGTGAAGGATTTCAACACATGAAGATCTCTCCAATTTTTTCCCAGTTTTTTGTGTAGAAGATGAAAAAAAAAGATGCACATTTTTTTAAAATTGAACACTAGGTGAGATACAGGCCCTAACTTTCAAGGGTTTGAATTTTGTTGAATCAATCAATGAGAATAGTAGGATGATGCAGGGGATTGATGGGAATTCATCTGTTTTTCAAGAAGTAATGCAATCAAATTCCACCAGAAAATTGTTTTCATATCTTGTTGTTGATAGGCTTGTGAAAGTTTAAAAAAATGAAATCAAGCATACAGAGTGTATGGGTACCAATCTTAGCATTACAGAAAAAAATAAACATACTGAATGGTTTTTGGTTTCAGTAGCACTACAGGAACTTGCTCAAATTAAAACTAATATGACTCTTGTTTCAATAACAAGTTTTATTGAATTGTTTAGTCGGGATATCTGGAAAAGGAGGCCTTGAGATCCATGATGGAAACTGATAGTAAATTCAAGGACCAAGCACTTATCATATCCTAAAAGAAACTTGAAAATCTACCCCAAATCTGCACTAATGAGATTTGAAAAACCTGTATAGCCACAAAGATTATTTTGAAACAAATATGATTTTCTACAGAGTAAATTGACTTCAATGCGGTGCTTTAAATGGTCAATCGATTAAGCCGGCAGATTTTAGAGAAGGGTTTTATTCATCAAGCAATTAATCAAATTAAATCAGCTTGTAAGCAATTGGGCACTCAAAAAAAGTGAAGCTTCCAACTTCTGTTGTATCCCCCAAAATAAAAATTCACAAGTAAGCCTATTTGTGCCCGCCAAGAGGTGAATGACTCGCTTTGATGTCTATTTAGGCTAAGAATCTTACTACGTCATCCAAACGGATGATTTATCCAGCGTATGTATAACAAAGATCATGGATTTTGATCCAAACAGGTTTAAATGCTTGAAGCCATGAGATGACAATTTTTTCGAATTCTTTGTGGACCTCAGATTATTTTCCAAGACGGATGCTTGCTGACAGACTCTGAATGTGAGGATTAATTCGATGAAGAAAGTGTCCAGACGTTAGAAGATCGGTCGGGAACAAAGATTTTCAATTTTCAGGGGCGCAGCCGATAAAGCGTCGGGCGTTTCTGGACAAGAAGAAGAGAATGCCAAGATGGGATCTGTTGAGCTGTCGATTGCTGCGAAAACTTGGTCCAACGTCAAGTGCACATTTCCTCATCATCAGATTCCATGATCTGGAGATTGAATTTGAGCATTAATTCACCCCTTCAAGTCACTTAAAGCAGACATCGATTTACATTGGTCTAAATCGGTCGGGAGGACTCATGGCTTCATGGTGCCAAATCTGGCAAAATCCCCGATCTTCTTTCTCAACATCTGACATCAAGTATAAGGTCCGAGTAAATAAATAGGTCGAACTTCTGCAACGATTTAGGCACCACGGTCCACAATATGTAGGTCCCTCCTCGAGTGAGCACTTCCGGAATCTGAAAACCCAGACTTCCGATCTGTTGGTGTGCTTCTGTGAGCCGCGATTCTTAGTCTTGCTGGTGATCAGCTTTTCAAAGTGATTGTAGTCGTCTTGTGACTATCCCTTGTGTCGGGGACTTGGGGTGACGCACTGATGTCTGGGCGGTAAGTGAGGTGGGCGATGTGATTAGAGATAAATGCGCGGCAAGGAGCCTCCTGCCGTCCTCAGAAGAATACTGAAGCATCTGTCTACTCTTTTGTCGGGCTTGGACATAGCCTCAGTTGGAACCCTGCCCGACGAGGTGGTTCTGACATTGTAATTGGCGCGACCATTGCTTAACCTTTGAAATGCATTTTTCACTTTGTATCCTCCCATTTCGTTGGCGCTTAACCTTGTAGCAGACCAACGAGCTTTGCCTTGAAGGACAAAATCGTACACGTCTCTCAAGACGCTCGAAGCAATCCGTCAGAGACAACTTTGTATTCCGTTTTGTTTGGAGAGGAGGATGAGAATTAAAGGAAGCTACAATGATTGGAACTTTGAAAGACAGTGAATCAACAAGAAGGAGAGATAGCTGGCTTGATCAGGAGATGAAAAAAAGGAAACTAGAATCAAATCGTCCTTAAATAAAAGTGAAAGTACAAGGTAGTGTTCGCGGTGTGATGGGACTTCCCCTTAATTTGCTGTGAAGAACTATGGAGATGAAGAATTCACTATGAAGAATGGTAGGAATAGGTGTTTGGTTTACTGCAAAGAATTGTGGGGATGGATGCTACCATCCAGGTTGATTGTCCTGAGTCATAGAGAAAACTCAAACAATGAGCACCTTCCGATGGTTTTGAAATATATGAAAGAACTTATCAGTTCAACTTACCCTAAAATTCCATTGAGTGGATCGTATCTGCCTGGAAGGTTTTGTTTGATTGAAAACTCTTCGAAAGTCCTGAGCCGATTTTGAACGTCCTGAAATTTCTTTTCCAGGATTTCATATTGATTTGAGAGGAAGAGACACTTGTCTTCGAGGTATCTGTTCTGTCCACAGATAGCCTGGATCTGATGCTGTTTGTAGGTCAATTGGTTTTCGATCTCTCGAAGCTGATGGGAGGAAATGGGATTTAGTAATGAGAAAAGGGGAACGCTTGGAAAAGAGGATGGCATCCTTGAAGCTGAGCGAAATCTTTGAGCTCACATGTCGTTCTTTCCTTTCGCGGAAAGCCTTTTGGGCCGTCCTGGTGGGTTTCAATGTGATGATTAACTTGATTTCTACGGGTTAAAAGATTGTGGGCAGGACAGAAAACTCACCTGTTTTGCTGCTTTCGCTTCTCAATGGTCTCGCTAGTCATGTGTCTTTTTCGTCTTGGGAACTCCGCTTTGGGCGTAGAGCCCTCGGCGCTATAAAGACTTTCTATTAAGTTTTTGGAACACCTCTGCATCAGTATTCGACAGGCCAGAGAGCTTTTTTTAACAGTAAAAAAAGCTTCAGGAGTCGCACCCATTCCACTGATCTCGGAAAATGCCTCATTGGAATCATTAAACTCGAAGCTTTCATGGCTGAACATGATGAGGGGCGAAAGAATATAAAGGAAGAAAGACGCGCAAAGTATTGGACCAGTCGGGCCTAGAGTCTGATGGGGTTGGTAGTGGACTTAGATGAAGTAAGTAGTCTGATTTTGTGGGGGGCTGCTCGAAGTGCGGGCTAAAAATTTGATCGGTATCAAGGTCAAGAAGAAACAAAGCTTGTGATGATGCTTTTGGGGAATACAACAAATGTTAGAGGGCAATTGGGAGTGTCATTTTAAAGTCTGGGCTCGCAAGAGCTGGTCACCATCGAGCGGGGCTTAACATCGCTTGGAAGTTGGAGGTGATTGAAAGGCATTAATTACGATTCTACTCTCACATGGGTGATGGAGGCTCATCCGACCTCATGAATTAGGTTTGCATGGAAAGCCGATTCAGAAGCACTTAGCACCATTCTTCTCGGTCTGCATCAGCATGCTATTCTTGATATGTACCTCAGGCAGGTCGCACGGGGAGCATGGTTGTTGCAAACAATAATGTCATGAAGATTGGTGCACCAAACTCAACTGCAAAGTTGTAGACACCAGGGCGGAAACCCACGGAAATATCCGAAAGCTAGCGCTGTGGACCCTTACTCCACCGTATCTCAATCCCATTCATACCTAGAAAATTACGGGGGCCCATCCCGCCGATCCGTTTAAGGGTTGACTGACATCCCGCACTTGCCTGCCCTTGCCTTGCCCACGGTGCTTCCTACAAACTTACAAAGTGGAGGGTTTTTCGTCACACTTCGGTTGGGTCTTGGAGCCAAACAAACCCTACTGCAGCCCGCATCAACTTTCCATTCAAGTATGCAATGCACATGCAATCCACTGGCCGGAGACGTCGAGACTCGACAAAGCACATCTGGGTTGCCAACCGCCTTCACACTGTTTTTTTTGTGCTTTTTTTTTGTCATCCCAGGCGATGTGGACCACATGTTTTGGTTTTTAGTACGCACACGCTTCTTCGCTTCAAGCGATGTTTGTACATACGGCAGCCAAGCCTTCGATCGATCGATCCACCGCACCTAAGAACACTTCAAAAAAAAAAAGAAAAAAATCTCCCTCTAAACGACGGAATCTCCATGTATGCAGTGTTCTAGAGAGTCGTGGAAGCCGAGGATTTCGAGTCGTTCTAGCATTGGCCACCCAAACCACCAGCCACCCTGCCCTATTGCTCCGAGCCGAAGTGCGATTTGGAACATGTGGCAATCGGGTATACCCCAACTTCCACCGCCACAAGTGGCACACCCCTCGGTCTGATTGGCATCCACCAGCATCCACCACTCCCTGGTTGAAGCGTCCTTTTGAGCCATCTATTTCGCCTCCGATCCGTTGATGAAAGTTACTTTTGAGTTTTGAGGCACTTCTGCTTTTTGAATCAATAGTTTTTTCAATGATCACTTACTGCCAAAAGACAACAAGACATTCATTTTCAACCACTGATGTATTAGACGTACATACTTTAATACAACAAACATCCAGAAAAATGATGGGTGACCATTATCTTGAAAGGTGGACTGTAAAATGTATTTCTTCCTGTATGATTGGGAGGAAGAAACACTAGCTTAACATAATATATCTGTGCTCATGAGGAGTCAGGACCCCCAGAAGCCCCAGCCTAGGGGAGACGTTCAAAAAGTATACCCTGTGGCCCTGAAGGGGAATGGTAGTTTTTGGCCCCTTGATATCCTTCTCATGAGTATAGTGTATACTCCTGAGAACAAAGGAGAGCCCCAGGTAAGATGTTGACAAATTTGGCATCACACTATTATTCAAAGGCCTATACATCACACAAAGCTTTATTAACTTCTCCTTGATCTACAAACCAAACAAGAATACAAAGCAATCAAATACTTTGGTTTAGGCAAGCCCAAAAAAATCATGGGCTGAACTTTGTACTTGTCTCAAGTTCACCTTGACTCCTGGTCGTGATCCATGTCTGCCATTCCAACTTGGTATACAAATCATTGGCTGTGGAACCTTGTCATATGCTTGAATAAATCAAGGGTTTGGCTGCCATTGAAAGCCTTTGGATAGTTTAAATTGATGGACCTTGTGTTAATGGGGGAAGCTATTCACTTGTCACAATTATTACTTTTTTTCTGAACATTGGCAGCTCCAGAAGAAAATCTGGACACAAACAAAATTTGAATGTTTCAAGCATATGTTTTTTTGAAAGAAACACATGCCAGCTGTCTTGAGCTAAAAAAAACCTTGTACAGTTGCGGATGGCAAAAACTGACCCTGGATTTTGAGGGTGTCCAAATAGTCAAGCTGAAAATTTCAGATTTTTTTTTTTTTGAAATTTTCATCCTTTTGAGCTGTTTGCAGCCTCCAGAGCGTAGAAAAAATACACTAGATGTTGGAATTTTGCCTTCTTTTCTACTCATCCCTAAAATAACCTCTTAAAAATTGTCTTTCTTTTTCTTTCTAATCACTCTTCATGAGACCAGATTATAGTATTAAGTAGCATGTTTTTTGACTGACTGATCACACTTTTGTAGTCTACAAACCCTAGATAGTAGTTCTTTTTTTGTCAACTCATGACTCTAAGATATCTTCTTCTTTCTTCTCATTATTGTGATTGTGGCATTCTGAATATTCATTATTCTAACCACATTTTGATTGTTGTGTATGTAGTCTATTTAACAAACTGATTACACATGATAACTAAAAACATTGGTTCTTTCCTTCATTTTTTGTCCCTTGAGCCGTTCCAACAAAATCATTTTGTTGCCAAAAAAAATCTCCTCAAAAGTTCTCCTTTCTCATCTGTCATGATTTTGTCACTAGAATAGCAGATTAACAGTGAAAGTAGATGGTGAGGGTGTAAAAGTAGTATAAAGCCATGAGTATGTATCACTCAAAGCCATAACTATGGGTTTAAGTATGGCTTAATCTGTACTTGTCCAATTATATGTATGTGGAAATGAAAAAAAAAAAATTGAACCGCTCCCTCTAAACCTTAGTGTTTATAATTTTGCACTCTACACATCTGTAGGAGTTCAAAATTGTAAAAAAAATTAAAGGCCCCGTGTGTCCAATTTGGATTTTGTGGGCAGGGCATGGTTGGTCTATGTTGTATGCAACTGTGCCTAGCAGATAGCCTATAAATAGTAAAAATTTGTTGAATACAAATTTTCATCCTTCAACTTGAATCCTGAAAGTTGGAGAAGTATAAACAGGAACAAGAGTTGGTCAAATTGCAATTCTTCATTGAATTCACTCTTATGAATGATAAACATTGTTAAAATAAAACTGATAACATTTTTATTATTACTCTTCATGAAGATGGTGACTGCAGTGGGCATTTCTTTTGGGAGGGGGGCAGTTAGTGGATGATTGATATGTGTAATAGAGACTGTAAATTATCCATATTAGTTTTCTATCTTACTTGATGGTAATACTATCAAGTAAGATAGAGAATATTTGATGCATATATGAGAGGGTCTGTGTTAATTTTTAATCTCTTTGGTCTACTCTTCCCCAAAATCACTTCCTCTTTCCCCTTTATTTTTCCCATTTTCTCTTTCTTGAATCTTTCTAATCCAGACTGAATTATAATCACTCTTGGCCAGCTTTCTGTTAAATCTTATGCACACTTGTAGTCTAATTAGAAATCTTGTGGCAATTTTGAAACAACTCCAGTTCTAAAGACTGATTTCTTTCTTTATCTAGTTTATCATTTGATTCTTTAAAACCTAATTATTTAGAATTAACACCTCTAAATATTTGTGGTAGAATTTCTGATTTTTCTTGATTAACTTTTCATGCCTGACTAAAAGAGACTGAGAAGTCCCGCTATGATTGTTTGTCCCAAGACCTCAAAATGTTCTGTCTCTTAGTTTTTATTCATTTCCTTGTTTTTGATTCATTTTGTCTCAACCACAGGTTGGACACTTGTAGTTAGTCTTTTTAACCAGGCTTGCTACATGTGAATGAAAAATCATTGGTTCTTTACACTCCTTCACTGTGAGCCTTTCCCAAAAACAAGATTCCCTTTTTTTGGCCCTAACCTCCTTCACGCCTAAGCCCACAATTTCATCATTTGGTAAAGAAAAAAAAACTGAATTATGTAGCTACATCAATTCCTCACAAAAAAACATTACCAAGTCTGTCTCTTACCTTCAACTGGACTGCTTTTCATGAAGACGTGTACCGTTCTCCAAATTTCAATAGGTGTTTGTTTGATTACAAGCCCAAAAAGATTTTGTGGTGCGGGTCTTCAACCTGAGGGGTCCAAGTTTGTGGTAGCTTTATCACTTGAAGAATTGATAGAATGGACGTCCACCAATTATTTGTGGTTCTCCTGAGGAGGAGGACTCTTCAGAGGCACCTTCAAGTGGGGGGGCTGATGTAGATGCCACTCCAGAGGATACAATTTCTACTGGTACTCCAGAGAGTATGATTTTTCCTTGTATGTATATTTGTGTATATGTGTGGGAACATCCTTCTTTCTGTTCTCTTGGCATTTTTCTGTTTCCCATAGTTATGCTTTCACATTCATGGCATTTGTAGTATAACTTTGAGCGTTCATGCGTACAGACAACACCATCCCCAATGGTATGCCCACATTTGTTCTTTGGAGGATAGCCATGTCTGTATAATTGATAAGTGACTTTTCCACAATTTTTGTTGCGACAGCCAACAGCTGCAATTGTAGGATTAGGAATGATGACCAGGAAAATGCTGAAGATAATTGCCTGGAGATTCATTGCAAATGTGGTGGGACAACAAGAAGTTTGCAGAGGTGGGAATTGAACTGGAGGCACAACAAGAATATTGAGGGTAATTTTTGAGGTGTAGATGCACTCAAACTGTTGTGTTATGGTGGAGGGTATTAAACATCTCTCAAAGCCTATACTTATACTACCAGTTCATTCGGATTCATTGGATGAATGACCAAAAAATCAACCAATACCAACCTGAAGATGGAGCAAACAACCCCAAGGATCATATAATGACCCAAAGGGATTTATCAAACAACCGACATGGCATCTTTTCTTTAGATGCTCACAAAAGCTCATGAGCTTTTTATGGCTGGTGGTTTAGTGTTGTTTTGGTTTACCAGGCAAGTGGGGGGTTGTAAACCTCAAAATAAGAAAAGGGGCTTGGAAAAATGACTCCCAAATTTTAGTCGACGACTCCCGTTTCGGTCGGGAGGTCTTCAAACGGGAGTCGTTCTTCCAATTCCCAAAAAAACATAGGGAGTCGTCGCACTAATTTTACCTGGAGAATTTTTATTTTTTTATTAAAAAAATAGGGAGTCGTCTGCCTAAAGTGCGGGAGTCGGCACACCGATTCCACCTAATATTTCGCCCTTTTTTATATTTAAATTGACGGGAGTCGTCCACCTAATACAAGGGAGTCGTCGCACCAATTCCGCCAAATGTTTTGCCTTTTTTTCTATATTAAAAAAAGACGGGAGTCGTCCAACTAGAAATGGGAGTCGTCACCATATGGCACCCTCAGAGACTCCAAAAAAAGGTTGAGCCACTGAGGCCCCACCCCAAAGGCAATTTGATAAAAAAATTAGATTGATTGAGAAAAACCATTGCAAGAGATAAAAGAGATGACAAACAGGCCAAAAATATTCAAAAATGATCAGAAAAGTAAGAAAAAAAAAGGGTAAAAAAGGACATAGAGGAAAAAAATCAAAAACTAAAAAAGACACAGGATAAAAAAAACCCTAGTGGTGTTTCATTGGATTTTCTATTTTCCTCTCTACAGTCAATTTGAAAGAATCAGAAAATTGGGCTTCCCATCCCCGAGCCTCTTCTGACGCCTTTTCTTTCCACTCCTTCATGAGCTGAGGGGCAGCAAACAGTCTTGGGTTATGTAACTGCAAGGGGACAAAATGAGAAAATTCATGTAGAAAAGCAATAAAAATAGGTGGGTTGTCATTGGGGGGGGGGGGGCAGAAAGAAGGAAGAAAAGTCTGGCAAAAGGTGTCAGAAAAAAAGCAAACAGGCCTCTCAAAGGCATTTGTCATTACCTCGCCCGTCGAAGGCATGGACATCCAATGAGGCTTTGAACAATGTGATGGCGAATCAACCTTGATACAATCCAAAGCGCTGTGGAGTTTGTGGAACATGTTTCAATACCAATCAGGCTGGCGAACAATTTCATTGTACAATTCATACCGACTCCTAGGGATTTGTCGACAACTCCTGCGAGACAAAAAAAGCCCAGTTTTCAGTTTGGACGATTGGGCCATCGACTCCCTTTCCGTCTGGGGAAATTAGCCTGACAACTCCCAAGGAAAAAAAAAGAATCAAGAAAACTAAGGATCAAATTTGGGGAGCCAACTCCCGCCTTTTAGGCGGACGACTCCCGAATTTTCAATTAAAAAAAATAAAAAATTGCCTGTGGAATTAGGCCAACAACTCCCGGGAATTGGAAGAACGACTCCCGTTCGACAACCTCCCGACCGAAACGGGAGTCGTCGACTAAAATTTGGGAGTCGTTTTTCCAAGACCCTAAGAAAAATACTTGAGGTACATACTTTGCCTGATTGGCTTTCTATATCGGGAGATTGGAGGACTTCCTGTCAGAATCTGTGGGTCCCCCAGTTTCAATCTAGAGCCTTGAAAGCTAGATTTCAATTGTGAAAATATAGACCTTTTGTCTCTCAATAAAAAACTGGGAGGGCCCCAGAGTTGATGAGAAGTTGTCCACTATTTGGTTATGGAATCACAAGTTTCTTTCCTTTTCCATCTTTTGTGAGTATCAAGCCATTCCTACACCATGGATGCAAGCAATATTTCAAAATCCAATTTCAATGCATATTAAAATATTTTCTTGTTCATTCAAACCGGCAAAAAAATGCTCACCAAATGACAGGTGACATTATGTAACATTGATTACAACTCAAGTATAGCTCCAGTGCTGCTGCAATCCAACTACAATGGCTCTGCTACAGGGGGGATGTATTAGTTGGGCTGGGGTTGATAGTGGGTAGCATGCTGAGCTAAGTCCAATGTTACCTGCCATCAATTGAGTATTGTTTGTCCCTGGTTTCAGTGCAGACATCCAGATGAGCAAATCACCAATCCTGATTGTGATATTCTCAAAATATCTTGGAAATTAATGCAAGCAATTTCCACCATATTTGAACAATATTTCTGAATTCAGCTAGCTTCCCAAAAAAAAAAAAAAAATTGCAGTCTGGATGGGGTGAAATTGGTGATCAGTCTTCCATAAAATTCCAAGGAAATCTTTTGAAATGGTGTGGAAAATAATTTCCCCCATCAAAAGCAGTCTGAAGACCACTTTCTTTTCACCCAAACAAAAGCCACATATAATATTCTTCCCAGCCGAGAATGTCTATGGACCAAATCAAAAGAATTTAGTGAACCTATGGTAGACTTGAGGTGATAATTGTATTTAAAAAGGTCTGAAAGACAAGTCAATCATTGTGAAGCTACCAATCAGATAATTTCTTGTTTGATCACAAGCCCAAAAAAGAATTTTTGGTGCGGGGTTTCGACCTGATGATCTCAAGTATTTGGTAGCTTTATCACTTGAAGAATTCATAGAATGGACGACCACCAATCATTTGTGGTTCTCCTGAGGAGGAGGCCTCTTCAGAGGCACCTTCAAGTGGGGGGGCTGATGTAGATGCCACTCTAGAGGATACAAGTTTTATTTCTACTCCAGAGGGTAAGATTTTTCCTTGTATGAATATTTGTGCATTTGTGTGGGAACATCCTTCTTTCTGTTCTTTTGGCATTCTTTTGTTTGCCATAGTAATTGTTTGACAGTGATTGCATTTGTAGTATAACTTTGAGCGTTCATGCTCACAGATAACACCAAGCCCCAGGGGATATCCACAAACACCCTTTGGATCATAATTGTGTTTGTATGGATTTAATTGATTAGTGATTTGTCCACAATTTTTATTGCAACATCCAACAGCTTGGATGGTAGGGTTTTGAATGATGGCCATGAAAATGCTGAAGATAATGAACCTGTGATTCATTGCCGAGGTTGCAGAGGTGGGAATTGAACTGGAAGCACACCAAGCAAATTGAGGGTAACTTTTGAGGTGTTTGTAGATGCACTGAAACTGTTGTGTTATGGCGGAGGGTATCAGGCCTCTCTCAAAGACTGTACTTATACCACCAGTTCATTTAATGGAGTCATCAGATGAATGGCCAGAAAATCAACCAAGAACAACCTGTATATTGAACAAACAACCCCATGAAGGGACAAATAGTGATTGACCAAATCCAAAAAAGAAAAATTGGTGCACCTGTGGTGAACTTGAGGTGATTACATTGAAAAGGTCTCACAGACAAGCTTCAGTCATGGTGAAGCTACCGATAATTAAACGAGAAGTGGTGACACACTTTGAGCAAACCTTGATAAAGTAAATCATTAGAGTTCCCCAGTCCCTTATAATTGTCTTGGGAGGGGCTTATTAATATTACATGTGGAGCAAGACTTGGAGGCTCTTGGAGGCCTGTCCCCTCTGTGATTTGACTCTGGTTACAGCTCAGTGACATCCCTCTGACAGCCCGTTTGAGTCGACTAGCTGTTCCAAGCCTGTCACGGACCCAATCAACACCATCAGTTTTTATTTATGTATTTTTCCGTTTGGAAGTGGAAGATACTCAACTAGGAGAAACGAAACCCAAAGATGAGTAGGACGTGGAGCAAGGAGGACGAAGAGCAGAAGGAAGGATTAGAGAGAGTGATCGAGATCATCGAGGGATACCAGCAGCACCTGGAGCACTTGGAGGACGCAGCTCGAAAGAGTCACCACTCAGAAGAGACGGCCGACTTCTTCCCGTTCGAACTGGTCACCCAACAGAACCCATTCTCGAAGAACCTACACACCAACACGAGCGTATCAGGCTCGGCAGGCGAAGAAGGCCCAGAAGACCCGGATTCCTTGGAGGTCTGGATCATCGATTGCGACCATCCCAGGTACATCTCCGCCCTCTTTCAGTTCATCAGAGCTCATATCTATCAGGACTCCAGGAACGAGAACGATAAGCAGTCCATCAAACATCTCAAATCCATCAAGCCCATCCTACACGACCAACGGATCCAAGACTCTGTAGGTATGTGTGAGGTGTGGTGGGGAGGAGGAGGAGGAGGAGGATGTCCCTGAATCTGCGCTTATCTTTCAATTGATCTCTCAACCGTTGTGATTCTCTCTCTCTTTCCTGTCTTGTGTAATAGGATAATGAAGGAAGAAGACGAACGACGAATGGGGTGTCGGTTCTTTTATCGAAGACGAGTTCGATAAGCTACCAAGAGCTAACAGCACGGCTCCAGACGCACCCGATCCTGGGCGATCTGGCGGCGAAATCGACGCCGTACCGGATCCGAGTGCCGACGAAACGGGCGCTCTATGAGGAACATTATCGACGCCACGTGATGGAGGAGCGGGGGAGGATGATGATGAAGAACGCTGGGGGATGGCCGACGGTCGAGCTAGACGAGAGCGCGCTGACCAACATGATGTCGTCGACGATGAAGGCCAACCAACGGATTCTGCAGCGCCGATGGACGGTAGCAGAGGTCGGTTGGCTGCTCACACAGGCCAAGTTGGTGGCCCAACTCGCGCTCACATCCAAGCTGGAAGCCCACGAGATCGGCGTGGGAGCGGCGGTGTCCACGTATTCGTTGGACCCGCCAGAAGAGCTGGCCCATCTCCCTCGAGACCAAGTCAGCAACCCGATCCTATCTGCATCCGTCGACCGCCGCAAGTCTTCCTCCAACCGGCTCCGACACGCCGTCGTTGAACTCACCACGACGGTCTCTGCACAAGACCTGATCCATCCAAGGAGCCCCGAAACCGCGCTCCATCCGATCCCGTATCTGCTCACCAACCAGATCGTCTTCCTCTCCCATGAACCCTGTCTGCTCTGCTCGATGGCCCTCCTCCATTCCCGCATCAAACATCTCTTCTTCCTCGCCCCTTCTCCCCGATCCGGCGGCTGTGGCTCCGTCTATAACGTCCATGAACAGGACGGCCTTAATCATAAATTCTTCGCTTGGAAACTTCGCTTCCCTGAACCTCTTTCTCCTCTCTTGAACACTTTCTTTGATGCTTGACTTTGCTCCCTTTCCCTTGTTTTCTTACTTTTGTTGGAAAGTTAGCATCTTATCTTACAATTTATGGAAGGTTTTTTTCAGATATGATTTATCTAATAATCATCAACCATGAGGCTTCTCTAGCAAAACAAAGAGAAAAGCAGAGATCAACAATAATCCCATTTGGGGACAAGTATCAAGTAACAAATTCATATTGGTTGACCCTCCCAAACAAACCTTGTTCTCCTCAAAATACACATAGAGGGGTATTTTTTTTTTTTTGGTACAAAGATAAAGATAGCAAAACTTTGTGTCAAGAAAGGAAAAGCATAGTTACTTACAACAAGTTGTTTCATGATGGATCTGTAATAAAAGTATATATATAAGAAAATACGTATACAACTGGTTTAGGTCTTGCTTGTTCTTTCTCTCCCGATTGTATATATATATATATGTGTGTATGTATGAAGTAAGGACCATATACGTAGAAGAAAGGAGAGGGAGAGGGAGGGAGAGGGAGGGAGAGGGAGGGAGAGGGAGGGAGGCTAGAGAGACAAGTCAAGCAGAATATACACTGAGAGAGTGAGAAACAAGTACAATCTCCTTAGGTCACTGGGCTCTGGACCTGGCAAGAGGCCAGACTTTAATACTCTATCTCATCGTATTGCTTGACTCGGTCCTAAATAATGTGATTTTTAAATGTTCAAGCATTCAGTGGATCAGTATATATATCTCTCTCTCCTAAAGGAGGTTTTGTTTGGAGAAGAAGAGGGACATACCTTCAGAAATTTCTCCAACTGCATGAATTTTATTTACGAAAAAGGCCCAAAACAAAATGATAAGTAACCTAACCATCCCACAAAAAAAGAGAAGAAGCGCTGACCCGATTAGCGTTTTTAACATAATTCGAGCCGTCAGGATTATAAGTTCTACAATTACTGAAGATGAGTTTACAGTCATCCAGGAACTGTTGGAGTGAAAGGTAGCGATTATTTTCGAGTTTGAGTTCGATCGTTTCGAGGTCCATGGGCTGTTTGATGACCGAATAATAGTCGGTGACCTCGTCCTTATTGATCGGTTTGGTGAACGGCCAGGCCGACGGATGGCTCTGTAAGCTCGTCAACAAGTGGTGGATGATGTTGTGACAGGCTAGTCGTTGGGGCTTCCGCGTCCTGTCATCAAATCAGACTACAACTTGCTTAGCATTCTTTGGCTCCTACTCAATTCTCACAGTAACAGACAGACACTGACAATTGATCTAGTTCAGGATTCCAACCGATCTCCTCTACAAAAAAATAATCAAACAGGATAAGTATTCTTCAAGTAATGAACAGGATAGAGATAGGAGACGAAACTGAGACCGGGTACGTCGACTGGATTAACAGGCTGAAGGAGCGGCTGTTGTTTGAAGACTTCGAGGCCTTTGTGGACCACATGTGATTGCGAAATCAACTTGATCTTACTCATTATCGCCTGCGTGTGTGTTGAATCTTCCATTAGCTCTCCTCATCTCATTGGATTGTGTATCCAAAAAAAAAAAAAAACTTCACTTGTTTTTGTTTCTCTAGGATTAGTGATGCTTCTAGATACTTTATTCTTGGTAACATTGCACACTATAAAATCAAAATCCAAAAGAACAAGAAAAAAAAAACAAAAATCAGTTTCAAGATGTTTTTTTTTTTCAGATTTACAAAAAAAAAGAGAAGAATAGAACACAAACATGCATGACAGTAGCGCCCTCATAATCCTTGATATAGCCCATCCAAACCGATTTATCAAGACTGACGTCCTTGGAGAAGCCCTGTTTCTTGAAGTAACCGATAGCGTAATTATCTGCATAGGTGAGGAAATGCATGCAGGTAGTGGACTGTTTGACGTGATCTTTGAGATGATTCATGAGATGAGAGCCGTAACCCTTGACCTGTTCGGAGGCCCTGATAGCGCAGAAGACGATCTCGGCGAATCCGCGGGACTCGAAGGCCCTGTAGGTGATTCCGCCGACGACATCCAGGCCGCGTTTGACGATCGCCAGACTGGCATGGTCTCGCGAATAGACCAGTCGGGCGATGTGTTCCCGCGGCATGTTGGGCAGTTGGCGTTGGAAGAGGTTCTTGAGACCCGTCAAGAGGATCGAGGAGTCCGGCTCTCCATCGTTGGTCACCACGACAAATCGGATGATGTTTTGCAGCTCTTCGTAGATCGCCGGTTTGAGTGATCGAGTGGATTGATGACTCGATAGGATATCATCCGTCGGTTCTTCTTCCACCTCTGCTTCTGCTTCTACTAGGACTCCTTCTTCTTTTTCTGGTTCTGGTTCTGGTTCGAGGGTCGAGAGTGATTGTTTGATGTCGAGTGGTTGAGTGAGTTTGATTCGTTTGCTTGGTTGTTCTTCTTCTTCTTCTGCTTCTCTCATCCTGGCTTGGTCCTGCTGGAAGCCAAAGATCCCCCGGTGGGATCCAACCTGACAATTCCCTCATCCCGGTCAGAGGAGGGGCCCCCGGATGAGCGCTACAGACTGTGTGATCCCCGCTCCGAGACCACCCGGGGGTTTCATTGACTCTAAGTTGAATATATGCAAAATCGATTTTCATGGATCACTTCACTCTTCACAGCCACTCCAGAGAAAAAAAAAAGAAAAAGAAACGAAAACCAACCACAACACAACCAAGACAAAACAAAACACACACAAGATGGTCAGCAGAAACTATCACTCTAATCACAAACAGAAGAAGCCAATGAGACTAACAATTTCTCCCTCTGACCTAACAGCCTCATCATAATGCCAAGAAACAGACTCATAACCATGGATTGGGGAAAGCTTTAATGAACCATCGAGCAAAGACAAAAAAATTGGACCATGAACGAGAATTGGTATGATACAACAGACTCATCACTACCTGTCTCTCCAGAAAAAAAAAATGCTGACTTTCATGTCAGAAACTAACAGCACACGACAGCGGTATATGAGAACAAGCCAATCTCAGTCACCCAGGAGAGTGATCTGGAGAACTTCTTGAATACGGCAGCGATGGCCGGAGCGGATTTTACTGCGGTCCGACAGAACGTAGTGATTGTGAATTCGGGGAACGGGAATGGAGGGACGAATGGCCGGAATCCGTTCCTACTCTCTGCGGATGAGCAAGCCCAAGTCGAAGCGAGCCATCGAGTCCACAAGGATCTACTACGAGTCCCGCGTCGACCTCGATGGACAGAGACGACGACTGGGGCACAACTAGACCGGCTCGAACGCGACGGCTTCTTGGAGTGGAGGAAAGGATTGGCAGATCTCTCGGACCATCGAGCGTTGCTCTTGACCCCCTTCGAGCGCAATATCGAGGTCTGGAGACAGCTTTGGAGGGTCGTCGAGAGAAGCCAACTGATCGTCCAGATCGTCGATGCCCGAAATCCTCTCCGCTTCCGCTGTGAAGATCTCGAGAAATACGTCAATGAGCTCTCTGATCAGGCCATCCAAGCACTCCCATCCCACCTCGATCTTCCACCAAGTCAAGAAGGCCAGCCAAGACTCAAGACTAATCTTTTGCTCGTCAACAAGTCCGACTTGTTGACCGAGAACCAACGGGCTTTGTGGGCCGAATACTTCGACAGTCAAGGGATCCAATACGCCTTCTTCTCTGCCGCCGATGCAGTCGCCCTTCAAGCTATTCAAGAGTCGGAAGAACCAGATTCGTCGGATCTTGATGGAAACAGTTGGGAGGACGACGAGGAGGAGGAGGAAGAGGAGGATCCTACCAGTGACTCGCCGCAATCCGATGAGATCCCCCACTCTTCTTCCTCAACCCCCAATCCACCCAAATCCGAGAGTTATCCGCAGACTACGGACGATCATTCCAGCTCGACTCATCCAAGCCTCATCCTCCCCAAATCGAAGACGAAAATCTTGACGGTCTCCGAGTTAGAGGAGCTTTTCCTATGCCATGCCGAAAGATATTTGAGCAAGCTTGATGAAAGTACTGAGGGAGAAGAACGAGGTGGTGATGATAATGATAATGAACGACCGGCGAGGAAATTGGTAGTAGGATTAGTCGGATATCCCAATGTCGGTAAATCATCGACGATCAATGCCTTAGTAGGAGCCAAGAAAGTCTCAGTGTCGTCGACGCCGGGGAAGACGAAGCATTTCCAAACGATCCATCTGTCGCCGGAGGTGATCTTATGCGACTGTCCGGGGCTAGTCTTCCCGCAATTTGCCTCAACCAAGGCAGAACTAGTGTGTGATGGGGTGCTTCCGATCGACCAAATGCGGGAACATACCGGGCCGATCAGTCTGATCACCCAACGGATCCCCAAGGAGGTTCTGGAAGCGACGTATGGGTTGCAGTTACAGACCTTACCGCTGGAGGAGGGCGGGGATGGGAAAGTGACGGCGAGCGAGTTTCTGACGAGTTATGCGATTGCGCGGGGGGCGTTTACGGGCGGAGGCGGGATGGGACGGCCGGATGAATCGAAGGTCTCCCGGCCGATCCTCAAAGATTATGTGGCCGCCAAGCTCCTCTATTGCGCGCCCCCGCCACTGGACGGCCTGAGCCCGGAAGAATTCAACGCCGAGAGTCGCGAACTCAAGCTCAAGAGCTCGGCCCATCGCAAGCTCGCACCCACAACCAGAGTGCCGATGAGGAGCGACACCTTCGTCAAGCCCGTAGCCGGTACTCTGCCCGTCGACCGCCAATCATCCCGCTCTCAGGCCCTCGACCAAAACTTCATCATCGACCACAATCTCCATGCTACCAATACTCCTAAACATATCAACGTCGGCATCAAAGGAAGACGCTCGGTCGTCGATAGACAACTCATCAATACCGCTAACGATCTCGCTAAACTTAGAGTCTCAGACGATCTTAAACTCTATTCTATCAACAACTCCGGCCTCCCCGCTGAGCATCCTCAGCTTAAAAATCCTGGTAATCCTTCTAAAAAACACTTCAAAAGAGTCGTTAATTCTTCGAATAGTAAGGGCAAAAAAATGAGATCTGGAAGAGGTTACGAGGATTCTTAAGCTCTTTCTTTTCTCTTTTTTTTTTGAATTCCAATAAGCATACTAAACGATCTTATCTTCTGGTTCTTCTTTCTTCAAGATGTGTTTGTTATACATTTTTGTTTTATCTACAATGATCAATCAATCAATCAATCAAAAAAAATGCTTTATTTATTGAGTTTTAGATAAATTACCAATCTGAGTATTAAACAAAAAAAACTAAAACTAAAACCATTGTATTACATACATACATACATCCTGTTTTTATTTAAATAAGAGTTGAAGAAACCTGTTGAGTGGAATGGACAGAGAATAAAGCACTGCAAATTTGTTGAATGAGAATGAACTGGTGTTGTATTTTTTTTCTTCATATACAAAAAGAGGTTGAGAAAGATGCAACACCCAAAAGTGAGTTCCTGCAAATTAAGCTTTCTGAGTAGAGACGATTGTGTAAGGTTGATAAATAAGCTATGCTAGTGTTGCGCTGGACCTGCCGTGCAAGACCATCCTGGTATAAGACAATTCTTGTGGATCCGCATCCATAGATCTGCACACCGGCAAGCCACACTGCTCTTCTTCTCCCCTCACAAAATCGTGCCAATTCTTCCCACAGACTGGCCTTCATGAGAGAAGTTTGTGTTCTTTTTTTTTGGGGGGGGGGCTAGCAGGTGATTTCTGCATTATTAGTTTGGTTGTGGGATGTCCTATCAATAAAGCATGGATCAGATAAACTGAGCACACGTCCAGCCAAAACATCAGAGATATATTGTCTCAACTTACACATTAATATAGTGTGTTATGTGGACTCATTTTGGCTGTGGCACTTTTTTTTTGGGGGGGGGGGGCTGTGAATGATTATTTGAGCTCCCTTTTAAGAGGGATTTGTTTGGGGACATTGATTGGTTTTTTCAAGCTCTTGGTGTTTCTCCTCCTTGGATTGATGGTGAAACAATGTGATGTGATGTGATAAATGGCCATGTACAGACTACAGAGTACAGCCCCTTGACAGAAATAATGGAACCCCTCCACCCAATTTCAGCAGGCATGGTTCAGTTTTTTCTGTCAAGGGCTCATGTACATACCAGCATTGCATTGAAAAAGTGATGCATTGCATCAGCATTGTATCAGAAAGTGATGCATACCAATGCCACCAAATTATAGTGCATTGCTTTGCCAATGTGATACCAATGCTCTGTATCGAAGAATCCAATTGTGATGCAATAAAGGCCCAATGAGATGTGATGCCTATGCGTGCATTGCATCAGTTACATCGTTGCTTGGATGCTACAATTGGAACAAACTCATGTTGAGTTTAGTCAATCAACAAGGCCATCATGCGGTTGAGAAATAAGTGGTGTAATGAAGAACCACTTCTGGGTTTCTATATGTAATGGCTGAAGCTAGATTATTTTTTATTCATCCAGTTGAATCATTTCACCCATATCAGAGCATGTCTAACTCTGCTATTCTGGCAACTCTTGACCTTTTCAACTGCTTGAACTCCTGGAGGTATGACTTGGAAGCCATACATAGAATGTGATATTACATCCATTTCTTGTTTACACCACGGGCTCTGGTGGACAAGTGCTTGACGGAAGCGGTTCTGTCAGCTTGACCCATGCCGCCCCGACCAATAATTTGGGGTGCTTCATAGCGGGGGGCGTAATCCCCCGCAGTCGGCTTGACCATTCAACGTCGGCTTGCCAGCGGTTGCAAGGCAAGCTTGCGGCGGCTTGACCATTCAACGTTGGCTTGCCAGCGGTTGCAAGGCAAGCTTGCGGCGGCTTGACAGGATTATGTCACCTTGGAAGTTGCTGTGCAGCAGCTGACTGCAGTAAGAAAAAAAAAAACTTATGTATCTTGGGGCTTGAACTTCCTACCTGTACTCACACCATCTTCAGCTCCATGCATGATGATGTGACAGGAGGGCCTATCCAACTATGGCAATCATGATGTCATACTACTCTGGCTTGGTTTTGCATGTAGATAGATATAAACTTTCAAATTACCTATAAGATTTTTTTGTCTTGAAGTTTTTTTCTCCAAGTTTTTTTTTCTCCATTTGTTTTTTCTTGAGGCGGCCACAACTTTTTAGACATGAAAAGGATGTAGAAAAAATCTTAAAAAAAAGTTTTTTTTTCTTCATTTTCAGACATGGGGTCAAGCCGACGGTGGGACTTTTTGACCCTGAGGTCAAGCCAACGTTGGAATTGCGGCATTCCTGCCCAAACTTGACGTTGGCCAGACCAATCTGGTGGGATTTTGTAAAAGAGGTTAAGGCTGACCGGTGCTTGACCGCGGGGTCAAGCTGACGGAGTGCCATTTCCAAAACTCAACCAGTGGTGTAGTCTGTGTTGGGGTTCAATATTGAGGCAAATTCACTTTGAGGGCAAGAAAGGAATTCAAGTTTTCTGTCCAGATTATCATTTGATTAAAGATGACCGCAATCAATTTTGAACAGATACAAATGAGTGGCCCAAACTCACAAAAATACACCTTTTTAACATTGGACACTTTAGAGATCGTTTGTTCGGACCTAGGTACCTGTTTATACCTAGGTGCCTGTTCATTTTTTCAAGAAAATAGATACCATTTACCGCACCAGACACCTCCTGGGGGGTACCCAAGGTACCTGTTGCAGGTACCTCAGGTATCCCCCCTCTCTTTTTCACCTAGTTTCACTCCCAGAGTCCCAAGTCAATTTATTATTATCATTATTGTTTTATATTTATTGTAAAATATTACTCACAAGTCACTTTTTTGGCATTTTTTAATGTCTGTTGTAATAGGGGGTATCAAAAATAACCAAATCCACCATTATTTAATGGGGGGGTTGATTTTTACAACCCTTCTTTTACATGGCTTATGCCTTGTAAACGCGATGGTTTGTGAAAATTTCTTTGGCCCTCCGCAATTCATAATTTTACAGGCATCCGACCAATTTACGGTCCCTCGTGAGAAATACCGTGCAAAACATGTGTTGTAAATTTTCCATCGAGTCCAATGATTTGTAATTTTACGATGGAAATCTTTACGATGTTAAGCCTTGCAAGGTAAAAGCACCACTAAAAAGAACCTCCGGTCTAAAAGGACCAAAATCACAATGATTTTTTTGCAAGGCATCCAATTTAGCATTGCAAAGGAATGTAAAATCGGGCATTGAGGGAGCCATGTGCGATTTTTACAAGGCAAAAGGAAAAACATTGCAAGGGAAACAACACAACGAAAAAAGAACAGGCAGTATGTATCTTCACCTTCGTCACTTTTGGGACGCTTTGCGAGTACTTGCTCGAGTGCCTGAGCGTTTCGGCTTGATTGTCGTTGTTTTATTGATGCTGGGGTTACTCGTTGACTCAGTAGCCTCCTTCGGCTTGGTTTGACGATTATCTTGTTTGATCGTTGACTCAGTAGCCTCCTTTGGCTTGGTTGGAAAATTATCTTGTTCGATTGGTTGTTTTGGGTGGTCGGTAGTCTTCAAGACTTTCAATCGGATCTTGAATTCGCCGGTCGCTTTTTGTTTCAAGTCTGCTGGGACGTCCGTCGCAAATGAGGTGGTAAGGTTTGCTTTTGGAACTGCGGCCTCCTCCGCTGGAATTGTTGGTATCGTCTCTGGGGCTACTTCCTCATCCAAACTGGCAGCAACATCTCCTGTGGGAGGTGTCTGATTTCGTGAGAGGCTCAGGAGCATGCCCATATGGGCAAATGGCATCAATCCTGGAGCGCCCTCGTTATCCCGAGCGATCTTGGCAATGCTCTCTTCGACAAATTTTGCCTCGCTGTGATTCCAAGCTCGAGAGTAAAACACCCAGCTGGTGTGGGCAGCACGTCCAGCAATGGTGCTATGATTGGGACTGATCAGCCGTGCAATCCCCCCGTTCTGTCGGTTGTCGTGGAGCCATACACCTGAGATCCCACCGATGTTCTTGAGCATCTTGGACCAATAATGGACCCCATTCCAGAATCCGCGAGAGAACAGGGTGTATGAGACCCCATGGAATTCCAAATGGAAAGGGAAATCCAATCCCGCCATGAATGTCTGCTGATCGGCCTCATCAAAGATCGATGTCACCTGAACCAACAGGTACAAGTGTTGGGGTGCCCCACTTTTTTCCACTGTGAAGACTGACCGTTCAATGATGTGATGACCGTCGTCTTGCTTCTTTGTTGAAGGGCATGACTTGCAGCATAGACCTGACACTGAGGAGATGCCAACGGTAGTCCACACCAAAATCAACTGTTGGACCAAACACAGCTCGATATTTGCCGATTCGAATGTTTCTTTCTGAATTCGCAAGACACTCACGTCTCAATTGCCACGAGGATGTGAATGTTCAAACTCTGGTCGAAGTTGACAAGCTGCTGTGCGGACTTCAGTCACTGTGAATAGGTCTCGAGAAGGATAGACACTTTTTGATTGCTTCCTAATGTGGGGATCGATGAGAAGGTCGATGAACAGATCAGCTGAGCAAAACACACCGGGGTTGAAGCAACCTGGCGACATTTTGTTAGCAGCAGCATGTAAAGCATTTTGACCAATTGATAAGAAAGACCGAATGTGACCGGATTGAGACAATTCCCAGGAGCATCTAGAATTAAAATGTTTGACGAGCGTAGTGAAGATATCGGATTTGAGCCCATTTGTGCCACGAAGCCATAGCGGATTGAACAAGGCATACAGGCTTTCAAGCGCAGCAGCCAACCAGCAGCGGTTTTTTTTAGATGATTCCTGTGATGCTGAGTAAGAGATGTATGTTGAGAAGGGGTCTTTGATTAGATTGGGGGAATTCTTTGGTCGGCCGCCAACGTTTTTTGGCTTAGGGAGCAGGGCCGCTGTGGTGTCTGGCGCCCGGCCATCGTTAAGCTCAACTTTCTTCCGGTTTGCTGGGTTGCGCTTGGGTGGCTTCTGCCAGCCAATTGACATCGCTAGGTCCTGTTGAGACTTGTTCTTTGCACCGTATTCGATGGATACTCCGCGCATGACTGCATGCCAGTCATCCTCAAGGGCCTTGACAAACGCAAAAAGCTCAGCCATGCCGATCATCAGGCAATTCTTCCCTTCGCTACAAGATCCAATTGATCCCCAATGGTCAGTCGAAGGATATATGAACAGGTATAAAAACACAAAGAAGCCCACCTAATCATGTAATACAACCGGTGCATACTTTCTTGTGCATTTGTGGTATCAGGGAGGTTGTCCTTGCTGTTGGCGGAGTTGGTGATCATTGCGCGCTTGGATGGAAATAGAATTGCCTCAACATCAACCATCGTCCACCAATCCAACCATCGTTTGGTCTTTGGGAAGAGGCGCCGGAGTTCGTTGATCTTCTCCTCGTGACATGGCTTGCCTGCCTCCGGTAAAACCAAAAGATCCAGGCAAAGTTTTTGGAATTGAGCCTGCAACACAATCACTGTCTGTCAGGCCAGCCATAAGGCAAAGGAGTGAGAATAAAAGAAGATGAATCAAATGTGTACCTCTTGTTCAGCGGGCACTACTGCCCGATTTTGTTTCACACGGGTAACTTGAGCTCGGAAGTGCTCATGGCACCCCTTCAGCTTTGACAGGGCCTGTTGTCGATCTGTAACCCTGAAAACTTTCATGTAAGCTGATATGAATCCCTCCCTCTGAGCGAGGGAAAAATCCACCACCTGTCAAACAAGGGTGTCGCGATCGGTTACCGTGAATCCAGGCCGATCGAACTGATCGAAGAGTGTTGAAAAATGTACCTCGTAATATTCAGCGCTGAGACCTCGGATCCACGAAAGTTGAACCGGTATCCAGCGAGCAGTCTCCTCACAAAACATTGAGGTTGATAACAAATAGCCGGTCTCAAATAGCCGGTAAGTTACATCTGACAGGAGGCCCCCACTGTAGACCTCGTTGTTGTGATCGCGAGTGACCAAACGCTCGGCCATCCATTTGGTTTGAAATGTGAAGTGCTCCATGCCGGGTTTGAAAGATGATGAGATGATGAGGAGACCCACGCTGTAAGCCGAGCATCAGCTGCAGATCGATTGAAGAAAACTAATGCAAAGAGACTTACTGGTTCCATTGAAACATATCCAGCAAGAATTTATCGCCTAACCCTGCGCCCCCCTTGCCCGGGTTGATCCCCAGCTCAGTGAGCATGAGTCGACGATGGTAACGGACTCGATCGCTGTTCACAAATGCCTCGTGGATCTTTGTCACACTTTCGAAAGGATTCAATGGAGCTGTGGGCTTGCCTAACTACAGAGTAACCAGGAGAGTACTCATCAGATTGGATTTGCAACTTTGGTGACAATAGAAGGACTTACTTTGAGCTTGAACGCACCAGCACTAGGATTCTTCATGATTTCATTTTTGAGCTTGAGTTTTGAAAGAGGGTCCGGCTTCTTTGGAGACGGCCATGGGTGGTGGTGGAAGCCATGATGTCGGAGAATGGCCCAATTGGTGACCTTGTTCTCATCAAATCGGGCCATTGTGTTGTTGCAGGCTTGGTGACCAACTATTCCAGGACACTTTCCAGCGGCTCCAGGGCATTTGGGATTCCTAATAGGAATGGGTTCCCAATTGGTCAGCACATAACTAAGAATCTGAATGAAAGGAAAATCTAATAAAAACACCCTCACGTTTCTAAGTATTCCTTAATTGCATTCTTGGCGGTGGGTGGAGACCCTACCCACTGGCATCCGGGCTCGGTGCAAATCAAAGCCCCAAGGCAGGAAAATCGCGTCATTTTCCAAGTTTTATCTGCTCGCCATTCAACATTGGAGGTCTTTGTGAAACCAACAAAGCCAAAGTTTCGGACCGTCATGTCGGGGGTTTTGACAAAAATCGTTTGGCGGTTAGGATATAGTGGATATCCATCGTCATCAAGTGTGCAGTCGTGATCTATGAATGTTTGTTCATTTCCAGAAGGGGCAAAGAAAATCTTTTTGCCTTTGATTGGCTCACAGTCGGAATCTTCGGGCTTGTTTGGTTGGGATAACCCCTTGTCATCGCTGCTCCCATCCGACATGACTAAAACTAAGGATACTAAAGAAAGATTGGAATGGTAGGGGTGATAATTAAACAAAAATGGATTTGCAACTGGGGGAATTGGAGGGGGCAAAAGCGAAGAGGGAAGGACCATCTATATCATAGAGGATTCCGGTGTGACCACAGCATTGACACATGTAAAATTCCCTTTTGTCTATCTGTTGGTGTAGTGTTCCGGCTGAATACAGCCTTGTAAAACAAGCCATGTATTCTGTACACCAGAAATATCCTGATTTGGGCTGAAATGTTGAAATTACAGGAGTAGTGTTACAAGGATCGTGAAACATCCATGTGATATTATATATAAGCCCTGTACAAAGGAAATTCCCACCGCATGTTTCACATAGGATTCTTTACATGGGCTGCCTTAAGGTCTCATTCCTTGTAAAATTATGCTTGTCTCCATACATAAAAAAATTTTACAGGTCACTCCTTTCACAAGGCATAAGCCTTGTAAAATATGGTTTGTAAAACTCACACACCCGTTATTTAATTGACTGGTTTGAAAAAATCCACCCTTTTCTAAAAAAGTTAATTCTTTATTTAACCCCTTTTGGGGCCCATTGATGCAAAAAGAAAAATTGGGAAAAGTGACTGGTTTCTCATGGTGGATTTCCTATATTTTCTACCCCCTAAAATATCTACATCTAATCGGAAGAATCTTACTTTTCTATTTTTTTCATATTTATTGTAAAAAATCAGTTCCAAGTCACTTTGTTCATTTGTTCATATTTAATAATTTATTGCAAAGTTTAAACTATCTACAACTTATAACTAATTGGAAGAATCTTCATTGTCATCCAAAACCATCACCTTCCTTTTTGATTTTTTCTTAGACTTCTTGCTATCCGTGAGTCCCTGTTTCCATGCAGCCAAGGTACCTTCTTGGATCTTGGAGTTCTTGGAGTAGAAGGCTACCATCATTTTGATTTTTGGTAGGGAAGTGAGGGGGCACCTGTAGAGGTACCCAGGTACCTGTTCAATTTTTCACAAAAATAGGTACCAAGTACCGCACCTGGCACCTCCTGGCGGGTGCAGGGCGGGTGTGAGGGGTACCCCCCAGGAGGTACCAGGTACCTGCAAAAAGTACGGACAAACGATCTCTAGGACACTTTAACTCAACTACCAACATGTCTATGCTGCAAATGCAAGAATTTGATGATACAAATAATAGAATTGATATTAAATCCTCCAAGGTGAATTGAGCCAACAGATTTTTAATCTACATATTCTGGATATTGTAAAATAATTTCAATGGTTGTATCTACAAAATCATACAGGCTAATTTACAATTTCCCAGAAGATCCTCTCATAAATGCTCCTGTCACTTTTTCTGCATGCTCAATCTTCAAAGCCTTACTCACAGAGTAGAAGAGTCATTTGACACAGCACGTCTGAAAGGCTACATAAAATAGGGATCATAGTCCAAGAACAACCTTCTCAGGAAAATTGACAACTCTCACTACTCAACCATATGATAGTGGGGGCAATAATCAAAACTGGGTCATAGATTCATTTACTGTAACTAAATCATCATACACTTAAATTTCAATCCCTTTATGAATTTGTGCAGGCTTCATTTGGAGGTACAGTGGGTAGACAGTGAAAAGTGGCTGCTTATTTTGGATTCCAGAGCTCTGAAACACAAACTTGAAGTCATGAGACTGGGTCAGGTAGTGCATAATAGGTCCCAAAAAATGAATATGAAATAATAAAAGCAAAAAATAAATTTTGAAAATTTGTGAAAAATAAACCCATTTTTTTTTCAAAAGCTTTAATATTCATTTTGGGGGAGTGAGAGTGCTGAGAGAAAGAAAGAATGAAACATGGGAAGAATGATTATAAATGAAAAAAATTGGAACCAAAAAAGGTTTAGCCAGGTTGGTGGTCCAGATTGGAGCCAAAACAGTAAATTCTAGTGCTTTGCTGCAATGTGGGCTGGTGAATGCCCCACTCAACAGCTGTTTGAAGCCATCTGGAAACCAAATTTTCCAAATTTTTCATTTATAATCATTCTTCTAATATCCCAATCTTTCTTTCTCTCAGCACTCCCACTCCCCCAAAATGAATATCAAAGCTTTTGAAAAAAATCAATTTTAGTTTTTATTTTTCACAAATTTTGAAACTTTATTTTTTGCTTTTATTATTTCATATTCATTTTTTGGGACCTATTATGCACCACCTGACCAAGTCTCATGATTTAAAATTTGTGTTTTGGAGCTCTGGAATCCAAAATAAGCAGCCACTTTTCACTGTCTAGGCACTGTACACCCTGGGTGCACTTGTGTGTCCTGGGGACATCACACAGAAATGCATCCCAGGTGTGTCCGAATCCATTTGAAAAAAGAGCGCCACCATCACAACCTCACAGTGAGGCTATTTTGATGGCTTTTTGGGACCTGGGACTGCCTTGGGATGATGCCATCCCAGGGCTGGATGTGAAATCCCAATTTGCACCCGCAGTGTACAAGAGAAATTTAAAATCAGCCTGCAGGGCAAATTTACAAGTCTAATTCAGTTGGATATGATTTTTTTTATCATCTGGATTTCTTACTCAAGAAGTAGAGAAAAGGAACTGGTATTTTCAGGGGAAAGGCACATTTGTGTAAAAAAACATCTGTGCCATGCACTGTGGCATTTTTGGTGTTCAGAATATAATATTTTTTGGAAGCAAAGAGAAAAGAAAAAGAGAAAAGAAACGCTCAACTTCAAAGTTGATGAGGGGCAAAAAAGATGAATGAAAGTGAAGATAGAACTACAGTAGTGTTCATGGGTAGAGAGACAGAACGGTACAGCAAAGTGGAAATGTTATGAAGAGAAGAATTGTTTTTACAAGTAGATTTCAACATCACAACAATACATATTTATATGACAACAGAATCCGGATAGGAAAAAAAAGAGATTTATCGACAAGATTTTTTCGTTCAATTGATACAAAAACATCCCCTATACTTTTGGTTATTTTCTACTTCATCAGAGAAAATACAATGGCATATCATCAGCCAATTTGATCCGTAACCGCAAAAGAGCGCGGTGCGCATCGCAACAATTGGTGCTCAATAAGCACTGGATCCTCAAAGAGCTATGGATGGTGGACCGGATGACTGATTTGCGAGTCGGGCACTCGGTATGTACTGATGATTGGCGAAGTTTTTTAACACTGGTTTCCTAGAAGGAACATGACTTCAATCCATTCTTGCTTCAGACACGCCCATCGCTTGATTCGACATTCACAGGAAGGCGCCCCGTTAGGCCGAGGACAGGGTTGGTGCTGGACTATTGACATAAACAGATCGATCATGATGACCACTCTTCGTGGTGCCATTTTCGGTCCACCGATAACCTGATAATTAATGTACAATGTTGTAAGTTATAAGATTTAATCAATGACTATAAGTAATATGTATTCATTTGAATATTATTGCTCACCGATTCAAGTGCGTCCCTCTTTAGTTGTGATCGCCGGGTCCACTCTCGGCTGAGCATCATCAAATCAGTTTGATAGATTTTGAAAGTTTGGTCGGTTCGATCGATGAGACAGAGTCGGCCAACGATTGTCTGGTAGGCAGGTGGCGGAAGTACATCTCCGTAAGGTGGCGGTTCTGAAACATCTGAGGTGTTTGCTTGAGGAGCAGTGAGTGCTCGAGTGGCTTTGCTGTGGGAAACCTGGGTAATGGCTTGGTCATTGACATGGCGAGAAGAGGTTTTATCGCAATATTTGTAGATGTAGGCGCTTAAAGCTTGGATAGGGTGAATCATCGCTGTAAACTAGATTGGAGTCGATGAAAGGTTATATGTGGGTTTTGCGGAGAACGTTTTGGGGTTTGGCGCGTGATGATGTTGAGTTCGTGATAGATATATGATAACAGAATTAGAAAAAGAACAGAAACAGAAACAGAAACAATAATACAAAGTGTGATGGAAGTGAAAACAATAGAAGAGGGCTGTATAGAACGGGAAGGAAATTGACAATGAGGGCAGATGGAGAGATTGAGGTACTGGAGATATCGATGGCCTTTTGAGGTCGAGATAAGTTCCAAAGGGACGAAGAAGAAGCCCAAGATGAACGCTGATCACAAGTGTGGTCTTGTGAGCTTGGCAACAAGAGCAACGGAAGATTGCCTTGGCCAATAACAATTGAGTTGGCAACATTGTCCACGCTTTTGGAGTCGTAGCCCAGCTTTCCTGGTCGTTGGAAATAGGGTCCTTGAGGTCATACGCCTCCCTGGCAGCAGTCACCGCGAGAGCCTTTGATTGTATGTATGTACTCGCGATCGTCAGGGGAAAGAATGATATTATAACCAATACAATGCATCAATGGTTAAAAAAACCTAAGTCGAGATAGCCCCATTTGGGATACGCTTGTAGGGTAATCATTGGGAGAAAGAGAGAAAAAAGATACTTGGATAATGCTGATGAGCATGATTGGCCTTGTCGCTTGGACAGTGGATACACCATGTGTCTGCTCGCCGAGGAGAATCTTCCCTCGGCGAGTAGGTAAAAGGCATGTCGGCTTTCCGGGGAGAGCCTTGGCGAGTTGAAGGAGGTATAGAAGAAGTACCTGCTTCCCGGGGAGCAATCGTCCTGCGCAAGTAGATACGACATCCATTCGCTCGCCGGGAAGGATTCATTTACGAGCCGATAATGCAAGGTGTATCGGCTCGTCTGGAATACTTTATCCGCGCCGGGCCACATGCCTGCTTGCTGAAGAAGACATGACAAGGGTACGAGTCCTTATCGCTCATCGGGCAGAAATCCTCCTCGGATAATGTCGGGTTACTGAAACGCAGTGGAGAAGTCATTACAAGCGTCCACGGATCCAGAAGCGGACTAGCCGGAGCGCGGCATGTAGTTAGGAGTACGCACTCGTCTCACCGGCAAGGGAATACATATTTGGCTCTGGCCGTGAGCCATGGCCACATGTTAAACCTACGCCCCGTCCTGGCGCTATATGAAGCACACCCTTTCATCAGCAGCCAAACTCCGTGCCTCGCTTGGCTCCGCTGTTGTCAAGATACCCAGAATTAACCAACCCTCCTGGGCGCGGAGCGCCCACCTTCGAAGGGTTTGAGAAACAATGAGCTTCTTTGGCGCAGAAAGTCCTCAAAATCCTTGTCTTAGAAACTCCAAATTTCCCGGGGGGAGGCACTGGATAGGCGAGAAGCCCAGCTATGTCTCCGTATTTTTCTTGGTAACCGTGCTCCATCTCTAATTCATCAAAGAAAAGCAAGAAGCACATCGCCACAATGGGTGACCTGACAGCATGTGGAATCCAGGGCAGATTATATCTAGATCAACTCTTCACCTCTTGGACAACTCACTGCATGGAAATGCCAATCTAGATAAGATAAGAATAAGGGTGACATTACCTTAACAATAAGAGTGAATGGATTGCCTCAACCATACAAGAGTATTCACATCTGTGGGGGATTTGCTATTTTTTGGCGACTTGACCCAACCAGCAACCTCATAGACCTCAAAAAGGTTTCAGGCAAACAAACAAAAACCAAGGTTTTGGGCTAGCATTCACTCACAAAGATTAGCAACCACTGACCTGGCAAGTTAAGCACATTTTGTGATCAACTCCTCAGTGTCCAGGGCTGAGTCAACCCACTCATTGCAGTTCCACCCTTGTTGAGACAGACAGGGGAGACTAATGACTGGAGTTCACTGACGGATTGTCTGTGACACTTTAGGAGTGAGAAAGAAAAAGATGGTTTGATTTCACTAAGGAAGAAACTGCCAGACTAATCCAGAGAGGGACTAAGTACAGGATTTGTCTTGTGGTTTGTTTGAAGCATACCACAGTATAAACATATACTCCAACAACCCTTTGGGTGGCTAGCCTGCCCACTAAACCTGGTTTAAACAACTGTGAATGATCTAACAGCTAGAAAATGGGATACCATCCAACAGGGCCCCCATTACCCCCACCCCACCTCTCTACACCCCAGGGACACCTCCCATACTGGATGGTGGAAACAACAAAACTCAGTCAATCTGTGAAACCAACAAGATTGGCTCTGTGGAAGTTTGGGGAAAAAGATTTCCTTGTCAGTTTCATAACACACCCTTATCACCCATTACAACCACAGAAAATAAATTCCACTACTTGAGCATGTTTTTTCATCAACAAGCTAGAGCAATCCATTCTACCATTCTGTTCCTGAAGCTGTGAAAATTCCAGAAAGCCCAGTTTTGAAAAACAAAATGTCTTGGCAAGAAAGAAAAAAAAAAACCACTGAAGAAGGGGCTGAATCTGATAGTGTTGTGAGTTGTCAAACCATGCATGTTAAAATAATTGAGTTGGTTGTGGCTTCTCCTTATTCTGACTGGTTTAGTGTGCGTTTAATAGGCCAGGGCAACACAAGAGATTTTTTTTGCCTCATCTTGCATCTCCTCAAATTTAACAATGACATCCTTCTTGAAATTCCTTTTGGAGTTCCCGTTCTTTTCTCTGTGCTCCCTGGCTCTCTTTGCTCTCTCTCTCTCTCAATCTTTCTATCTCATAACACATCTTCTTCATCTTTCTTCACAATTATTCTCTCTCCTTTCTCTTCCTTCCTCTTCCTCTCTCCTTGTCTTGGCTTGATAAATATCAACCACAACTTGATCAAAACCTATCCTCAAAGTGCACCCACAAGTTGACTATCTGATCAAATCAGATATGAATACTTTCTGTTTCAATGATTGATTTTGAACTGTTCATTATTGTAAGATCAGTATGGTGTAAGCTCACAGTGAGGCTGCAGTTAAATTTTGTGTGTGAGCCTTTGCAGTAACAAACAAGGTTGATAACACATTGTGCATGGGAACCTTTGTAGTTACAGACAAGGTTTACCACTTTAACATGTATCAAGATCTGTTGACAGAGGAGTCTGACTTCCAAGGGGAGGGGCTGCCAGGATTTGAACCTGGAACCTGCATGCTAAGATTAGCCTGCAAGGCCTCCAGGCAAAAATGAAATATGTCTCTGCAGGCTCCCAAGGGATACTGTATGGTGTGTACAGCCTCTTGACAGAAAAAATAGGGGGTATCAAGTATAGGAAATCCACCATTAGAAACCAGTCACTTTTTCCAAAATATTTTTTTGCATCAATGACCCCCCAAAGGGGTTCAATAGGGGGCATAAAATGTAAGAAATCCACCACTAGAAACCATTCAATTATCCAAAAATATTCTTCTTCACCAATGGGTTCCCAAAGATGGAAGATGAAGAACCAACATGTTTAAAAAATAGTGGATTTTTTTAAACCAGTGAATTAAATAGGGGTGGATTTAGTTATATTAATATATTTGATACCCCCTAATAAGAACCAATGTTTTTAAAAAATAGTAGTCTTTTTGAACCAGTCAATTAAATAATGGTGGGTTTGGTTATATTTGATACCCCCTAATGGAACCAGCTTTTAATTGAAGTCTAGAGAAAAAACCAATGTACTTCAATTTCAGATTCCTGTTGAAACTGTGTAAAATGAGTTCTAAAGAATGATTCTGAGAATTTGGATAAGAAAAAGATTTGTAAATATTTTTCCACATTTTGTGATTTTTTTAAGGTCAAAAAATAAGGACCAACACAATAGCATTTGAAAAAAAAAATGATTATAAAAGAGCAACAAAAGAAAAAACTGCTGATCAAAAGTTTAGAGATCAGAAGAAGCTGGAATCAGGATGGAAGTAAATGGGATTCCAGGGCCTGATTGAAGGGTTGTTCTAGTGGAAGACGCGATCCAAATCTGCTTAAAAACAGCTGTTGATGACTTTCTTTTTTTTTCAATTTTTCATTCATAATCATTCTTTTTGCATTCAATTGTACTGATTGTGATTTTTGAGCTACATTGAAAAAACCTTCAAAAAAAAATCAGAAAATGAGGAAAAAAGGGTGCATGGAGCCCACAGACAAACGGTGGACCATCCAGTCCCCTGGTCCAACCCACCATATGTAATGGCCAGATCCCTGGGTAAAGGTGCTGGCAGACCACATCCAACTGCACCCTAGGTTTTCTTTCACTCCATCTGAGCTGATAGAACTCATCATGGACTGTTTTCCCTGACGCCTTGAACTCCTCATACATCCTTCTTCTTCTTTTTTTTGAAAATTATAGAGGTTTTTTTAGGGGGTTGGAAAAACGACTCCAAAAAATTTGACAACGACTCCCATTTTGGTCGAGGGGTTGTCAGACGGGAGTCGTCTTTCCAAATCCCCCTGGGGGATTGGGAGTCAACCTCCCAATTTAATTTAGGGAGTTGATCAAACGACTCCCAAATATTGGAGAGTTGACTCCCAAACCCGGGTTTCCCCAAAATTTGGGAGTCGATTCCCCAAACCCGTTGGTGAGTTTGGGAGTCAGCCCTCAAAAAAAATTAAATAAAAAAAAAGAAAAACCCTGGAGGGGTTGGGAGTCAATGCCCCAAAACCCAGTGGTTTTGGGGGGTCGGTGATAAAAAAAAATAAAACCAGCGGCCGGGAGGATTCCTCCCGGCGAGAGTGCTTCATGGACGGCCAAGAGAATTTCTCTTGGGCGTTAAGGGTATAACCCTCAACAGCCGAAAGAAACCTCTCAGCCGTCGAGGGTGTACACCTCAACGGCCAAGGGAAATCCTCTCGGCCATCGAGGGTGTACACTTTGACAACCAAGAGGCACACACCGTTGAGGGTACACCCTCGACGCCCGGGAAGAATCCTCTCGGCCATCAAGAGTGTATACCCTCAACGACCAGGAGGTACACTCTCGGCCGTTGAGGGTATACATTCTCAATGACCAAGAGGAAACCCTCTCGGTCGTACATGTTTCCTCTCGGTCGTTGAGGTGTACACCCTCAATGGCCGAGAGGTTTCACTCGGCCGTTGAGGGCTACACCTCCAACGGCCGAGAGGTATCTTGGCCGTTGAGGTCTCGACGGCCGAGAAGTTTCCCTCGGCCGTTGAGGTGTACACCCTTGACCTCCGAGAGAAACCCTCTCGGCCGAGAGGGTTTTCTCTCAGCTGTCGAGGTTGTAGACCCTCGACGGCCGAGAGGGTTTTCTCTCAGCTGTTGAGGTTGTAGACCCTCGACGGCTGAGAGAATTTCTCTTGGCCGTCAAGAGCACTCTCCGAGGCTGGGAGGAATCCTCCCGGCCGTCGGTTTTTTTTTTTTTGGTTCTGGCATCGACACCCAAACCCTGCCGGGGTTTTCTTTTTTTTTATTTAATTTTTTTTAGAGGCCAACTCCCAAACCCACTGACGGGTTTGGGGAATCGACTCCCAAATTTCGGGGAAACCCGGGTTTGGGAGTTGACTCTCCGATATTTGGGAGTTGGTTGATCAACTCCCTTTAATTTAATTTAATTTTTATTTTTTTTATTTTTTTGGGTGGGAGTTGGCGCCCAAAACCCTCTTTGGCAAGTGGGAGTTTGGGAGTCAATTCCCTCCCACTGCCCGGGGGGGGGGGGGGGGATTCCCTCTGGTCATTGAGACTGTACAGTGGGTGGACCATTATTTTTGACTGCTTGTTTTGGGTTCTACAGCTTCAAAGCACAAACATCACAAGTCACAACACTTGGTGAATTGGTGCAGAATAG